CCGCGGAGGTCTTGGACCGTCGACAACGACGGCGGCGTTATATGTTGCAATTTTTCCTGCGGACGCAGGAAATGAACGAAGTTCAGTGTGCATGTTTTATCTTGGCGTATACATACCAATTCGGCTTTCAGACGATCAGTTCGGTTGATATAGAAGATAGAATGGTTAAAATAGAAGTATCGAATGAAAAATAATAATTGAAAAAAAAGACTTCAATATTTGCACCGCGTTCGTAGATATTTAAACCGAGAGAACGATCGATTCAAATATCAATTCGGTTTCAAAAAAGTACAAACAACGCAATATCTCAGTTTTTCTACACTTCTCCCTCGACCGAGATAAACCGTTCTATCGATTCAGTTATCGTGTTCCAATTTTTTTGTTTCAGCGAAGGTGGAGTTTAAAATTAGAGGTATTACAACGCGTTCCAGGCAAAATCGAATCTTTCGGTAACATGTTCAGCGAAATGTTACGCGAAACCGTGTTTTGCGCAAATTTTATAACCGATCGCTTAAAACATGCGATCGCGCTAGGCGGATAAACGAAATACAAGAGCAACGGTGCGTTAAAAATCCCTGTTGAATAATTACGGGCGGTATGATTAAGCGAGAAATAAGAAAAGTGAAATACGCGACGAAATGTTCGTTAGATTTTTAAATAGTTCGCCGATTCGTCCGTCGGTATTGCTAAAAAAAAACGACGCGCAGAGGTGATCGAGGCTGGAATTTCCGATTTTGAGAAAACGTAAAAATTGACTAAGAAGTAAAGCAGTTACTTTTTTCGTTTCCGACTAATTTATCGTTAAATTTATTCTACTTTAAAATTGTCGATTCAAATTTGATATATCGCAACAAGTTTTTCATAGAAACTCGTTTTTTTTGTGGTCAACTCGAGCGGAACTTCTTACCCCGTCGCGGGGCGAGTTGTTAACGCTCCGGAATAAATTGTTACCAAGAAATAAATATTACTTCCTAATGAGATATTTCATTCTCCGATGAAATAAGACACAATCTTATTAATAAAGTTTGTCTATTAACTTCGGGTCAACGAAAATACATATATATTTTGGAAAGAAAAGAATATACTATCTTCGGCACGAACGTTAACGTAGTAAAATGAAAATAATAAACCAACGTTATGACAATTTAGGAACACAACTTCACTTAAACCTAATAGAAATATCTTTCTAAACGAAGAAAAATTAGATATCGTCGAACGACTCGTCGGAATCACAGTTCAGACAAAGATAGGATGCAGTATTTACTTTCTCTATACATTTGGTACGAGCCCAGTTCTCGCGTAACATACGCTAAATCCATTCTTCCCCGGGCTGTGATTTAGAATACGCGTCGCAACGGAACGGGAACTATTTGTACATTTGAGGTGGGGTAAGTTGTTGTGGTAACAATATGCCCCGAGACCCGGGAACAACTAACCCCAATTGACACGTGCGACGGTGTATAAAAATATTTTGTTTATGTATTCAAATATTCTAACAAAAGCCATTACAACGTGTTCTTAAATGTTACTTAATTTGCAAGAACAGAACGGTAGACGATATTGACGTTAAATAATCGAGTCGGACAAAAAAATAGTGACCGCGAAATATTTACTCACCCGATATGCGACTACTATCTTGTCTAAAACTACGCAATTCTCTGTCACGGACGCTACTAAAGTGGTCGGAGGCGTCGCGTGATCGGTCCACGCTCTCAAAACAATTGAAAGCATAACGCGATTCTTTTTTATTTGAAGTAACATTACCATCGCAACAACTCACCCCCGGAACTTCCATCCCCGCTCTCCACTACAGTCGCTAAGAGATTAAGCCCCGTTCTACAATATTCAAAATCTGCCAAGATTGTTCCTCCACCAATGCACCCGCGCGCATCTTTCAACGGCGCGCGATCCGCGATAGAACCGTCCGTAAAACTCGGCTCTCAAAATTCCGCTCTTTATATCCGGCGGATCGATGGTCTCCAATAGAGGGTTAATAAGTTCCATTAAACTGCCGTCGCTTATCGATTCCCGGCCATCGTGTGTACACACGGACGCGCGTGCACACATACACACACACATACGGCCGACGAGCGCGCGGCGCTATTAATTAATCGCGAGTGTATCGGCACGTTAGATCACCCCTGGCGGGGATTCTTGTCCCTCTTGGGGCCGCGTTACGTTTGTAATTCGGCTCGATGGCCGGAAGTATCGGTAGCAGTTCGAACCGGCAGTTGTCCTCCAGTAGTTGATCGCAGGGAGGGGGGGAGCGATAATGGTGTTTACGGGAGGACGAGCCGCCGCCGCCGCTGCGCCGCGCCGCGCCGCGATACGGCTCTGCGACGCGTATTCCAGATCTGATCACCATTTATCACGCGGCCAGCGCAGGTGGACAGAGAGGGGAGGCGGGGCGGCTGGCCGCGCAAATTGCGCCGAGTTTCGGCTGCGGTCGCACCTGGAGGGAGACGCGTCGTTACCTGCCCGTTCCGGCACGTTCAGTTAAATTCACCGCAATTGTGACTCGGTGTCGGCGGACACGGCTTTCCTTCCCCTAATACAGTCTGCGGTGCCACGTGATCCGCCGCCCCCGCGTTCTCAATTAACGTATTCGCCCGGCGAAACCAATGCGCCGCGCCCGTTTCTTCCTCCGCCCGTGAACGATGGCCCAGCAGAAAATTCCCGCCGGGGTCCCCCAGCTGAAAATTGTTCCCCGTATAAATTCGGGTCCTTCGAACCTTTTGGCGTCTCTCCCGCGACGGCTTTTCGCGTAATTAGACTCGTCGTTCCGCGCCGGATTGGCCGCGCAATAACGCGTAACGAGAGCGATCGCGACGGAGTTAACGCCGCTGGATTCGTTTTCGCGGATTCCATTGACTTTTCAAAGTCGGCTTGTTAGTCAAGTTAAATTTATAGTTGCTATTGAAATAATGACGATTATTATTTGTAGTAACTTTTGGGACAGCCTGTATATTATAATTTTTGAAGGGAGGGAAGTTGATGTTAAACGTACGCCATTCTCTCCAAACGCGACACGATCTTTTCAGTATTTTCGCAGAAGCGCGATCGAGCCGTTTATTTTGAAAGTGGCCTAAGTCCATTTATATGCTTAAATTTAGATATTTAAGGGTTCGTGTTTCGATGCGATTAAAAATATACGTACGAGATACTAACGAGTCATACTGCTTAAGCGTATCTGAAGGAGTTAAATTTATAGTTCCTATTAAAATAATGGCGATTATTAAGCGAATAATATGCGTTTTCTTACCAAGAATGGAGTTGGGCCACTTTCAAAATTAACAACCGGATTCGTTATAAAATTTGAAGGAGTCCGAGTCCGTTCGACGTAATTTAAGATGCTTCGAATTGAAAGAAACGATGCTCAATTTATTTTATATATCTTCACGACGCTTCGAAAACATAATTTACGCGATTCGAAACATTTTTTAACTACGTAAATTACAAAACAATTTACTGCTCGTCTACATTTTGTTTTGGAAAACTTTTAAAGGTACGATATT